GGAGGACCAATTATTTTTTTGCCCCCACTAAAAGAATCGTGTTCAGGATCCGCCCTTGCTTCCCTCCCCCGGATTTACGCCCTGACACCGACATTATATATATTCTTTACCATCGTTAGCAAAGGAGTGAATACATAGAAGACTAAACATATGGTGACTGATGAAGCACCCGTCACAAAAACACAAGTGGGACGGCATAATTATTATCACCTGTATAAATCACATCATTAAGTGAATTAGAAACCAGAAAACCCACAATGTACGCAAAACAAACCTTGCGTCGCCTACACCGGAGATGTTTTTTTTAAAGCCTGCTCTCTGGGAATATACTAACCTAATCGGCCCGCAGGCGGTTTATGCGTTGACAAGTTAACCCACTCACCGCCATCACCTTGTATCGAAACCGGAACTTCCTCAAATGCGTATTTTACATATTAAAAACCTAACAAATACACTCTGGGCAGCTCAATTATGTAACTACACTGGTATCCATACCAATGTAAATCAACAGAAATATTCTCTATCAAAAATGTTCGCAGAGCCTTCGTTCCTCGGATCATTTGACTCCTAGCCCAAAAAGTACAAAAGAATGAGCAACAGTCCTGCTGATGATTATAACAAAACCCAAAACCAAATTTATTCCCCTTTAAATAGTACTTCACGACGGCAAATTGGCAAATTTTCTTGGAATTTTCCAACAATAAAAACTATTCCCTGAACTTAGCCTGCACATATCAGTCCATCCTTGCTATGTTCTCAGCTATAAATCACTTTTCAAAAAAGAAAAAAATTGCACAATCTGACAAAATTAATTGCTCATAGTGGCTGCCCCCCCCCAAAAAAAATCCCCTCCATCCGACTTGACATGCACGATAGTGGCTTCGTGTATGATTACGCCCCCTCCAAATAAACGCAAAAGTTGCACGTGTACAGTCCCTGTAGCGCGGCCATCGCTGCAGTGATAGGTTGTTGTATACCAGTCCATGTAGACTGGTACCCCGCTTTAAGTAATTTTGGGGTTTACAATTTTGTCGCGGGACTTAAAGTAATTTTGGGGTTTACATTCGTCGCGATACTTACAGTAATTTTGGGTTTACATTCTTCGCGGGGCTTACAGTAATGTTGGGTTTAGTTTAATTTGTGTTTTATTGTACATTTAACACGAAAGTTTTATTTGTTATGTTTATTTTTTTTATTTTTTTCGTTTCAATTTTGTTTTGTTGTCCTACATTTTCATTGTTAATTGTACGATATTGTTTATTTTTTTTTGCATTTTATGTTATTTTATTTTTGCCTAACTTTAATTTTGTGATTGTCTTTTTTGCCCTAATGGCCGCCCATACATGAAAGCGCCACCATAAAATGTTTGGGTGGCCACCATTGGGACCATGGTGACCAATGGCATCGCCATAGGAATGCTTTTCTACTCAACGGATATGCGCGCATGGGGAAATACCATGGTGATAAACACCATATGCCCGTATTAAAATCGTCATCAATTTCTTCCAAAAGAAGGCGCGACATATAAACACTGCTAACAGCACTGGCTTCTGTCTATTCGCGATGTTAACATAGTGATTGTAATGCCAAAAATCTCAAGATAAACTATTTGCATTAAAATGAAATCTCGGCCAATATTTTGCCATGATATTTGACACAAGAATCTCGAATATTGACAGGAACTGTGAAAAAATGACATACATATAATTTAAATAAATTGCAGTGTAAAGGAAACTACGTATTAAAATCGTTGTCAATTTTTTTCAAAAGATGGCGCGCTTTATATACACTGCTAACCGCGCCGACTTCTGTCCATTTGCGATATAAACATAGTTATTATAAAGGTGAAATCTCAAGATAAACACTTTGCATTAAAATAAAAACTCGTCCAATATTTAGCCATGGTGTTTGACACAAAAATCTCTAATATTGATATGAACCGTAAAAGAATGACATAAATATGATATCAGGAAATTGCAGTGTAAGACCATTAGGCCCAAAAAATAATAAGTCGGTCTCTGGTCAGCGCGCGCGTCGATTTTTATCATGCGCGTCGATCTTTTTTTTTCTCCAAAATGTTCCGCGGTAGCTCCAACAGCGCCCTCTTTTCCCGCACCTCCTCAATTTTTTTTTTACCAAAGAACACCAAGGAATCGGAAATTGCACCAAGGCAAATGATCGAAAGCACCAAGGCAAATTATGGAGGACACCAATGTACATGAGGACAACAAAAAGGCAAAATAGTACCCACCTTGTCCGTACAATCCAAGCTTGAAGGAAAAAAAAAAAAAAAAAAAAAAAAAAAAGCCGCGTGGCCGCGTCAATTCCGGAACTTTGGTCTGATCAGATACCGATTTTTTTTTTTTGGCCTTACAAACACATGCTCGTAAAAGTTAGTCCGGTACTCTGTCTTAATCTATTCTTAATGTTGAGGTTCATCGTTTTTGCCGAAGCCAGTTGAGCGTGATAGGCCGTCTGATAAGGTTTGTGCACAAAACACCCTGCGCTAGGGGTTTTTGTATAAATATTAGGGTACATGTACCCAACTTTTACGGCAATATTTCAGTAATGACAATCACTGTTATGTCACACGAAAACTCAAAATCTTTGATTGAAATTGTGCATAGAGGTTGAGCATGACGAGGATACGTCTTGAAACCATTTGTGCACAAAGTATAGAGCATTTTATCTTCTACAGCTAAAATCAAATATTTTTGTTTTATTTTAAATAAGAATGTATTTTATCACCACTATACGTACGCGGGTATATATGTACATGCATTTTGGAACAGTGCCCTCAATAGTCAGGTAGCGTCCAGCCCAACCCCCTCCACCCCAGCTTTTCCAGCTTTCCAAGTTGGTGGTTCCGAAAATATTAACAAGAGATTGCCGCTGCTGGTATCGAGGCCTAACTGTAGTCTTTCGACAAGGTCACCCTAACTCGCGCCGGTAGTAAACCGAGTGGCGAAACAGCCAGGCGTTTTTGAACGGAGCCTAGCCACATTGGCGTATCCGGGGGAAGGGAGGGAGGAGGGGGCAACTTGCCCCCCCCCCCTCCAGTGGATTTTTGTACGAGAAATGTTTTGTCAGTAAGTATTTTCTAATTTTCTAACCCCCCCCCAAAAAAAAGAAACCCAGCTCAAAACCTTTACAATGCGCCGTGAAAATCGGCATAGATTTTTCAGTTTGCACAATAACGATCAGTTTTGAAGAGCGACCCTATTTGCAAGATAGGTACCAGCACCCATTTTTGATTTTACGGAGGCCACGCGTCCGATTTAATGCAACAAAACTTGTCTAAATTTCGGCGTGGATGTGCGGTTGCCCCCCCTCCCCCCCCCCCCCCCCCACTTCAACATCTGGAAACGCTGCTGACCAAAGATCCTAAAGCGCTGCAAGATGGATTACTCACCGGCAAAAAGCTGATTACATCAGGCAGACTTTCGCCGCCATTTAAGAGTGCTAAATGTTGAAAAGGTCCCAGATGCGTGAATATTTACAGTGGCGTCTGCCGGTCGTTTTTCGTTTTCTTCTACCCATTGTTCGGCAATAAACTGCCATAATCGGCAGTCAAAATGACCAGGCTTGTCATTCTTTAGATTCCCAAAGAACAATGAGAGGGTAAGAAACAGATTTATTTACTTTTTACGTTGCCTTCATCGCGTAAATTAATCTGTTGACTGACCCTTGTGCCGGCCAGACTGAAGCAGCGTTTAAGTCCCGTAGCTCGATCGTTTTCAATTTGTTGTCAATTATGTTTTTTATTCGTTGCTTTCCCCCAAGAAATGTAATCTTAGGCATATGTCTAAATTGTCCATGGGTTTATGCCTAGCCTTGACTCTGGGTAGTTTCCAGCTACTCATGATCTAACGCATCCATTTATTTTAGACATGCCTTGGCACAGGCTGGGCTAGGGCTAGGCCTAGCCCAGGTTGGACGGCGTCTTCATTGCATCACGATTACGTAACGTATGGAGGTACCTAAGCTAGGCCTAATTTAAAGAAATCGGCTAGCCTAGTCCCAACATTAGTTAATTAATGAGACAATCCAAATTCCGGAAATACCAAATAAATTCATTTTTACTAATTATAGGCCTAGGCATTCTTTATTAACACCAGTTGCAAAGATTTGCAGAGAGGAACGCAACTATATCTTAGCACAAATTACTGTTTGTGCTTGGAGCACTTTGAAAATAATCAGTTTTCAAATAAATCTACTCAAAACCGTCTAAATTGGCATGCTGTTCCAACTATCTTCAATATTCCAAATCCACCCCCAAATCTGTGACAACAACACGCAGGCCTCCCAAGAGGAAATTTAGTGAGCGTCTGGAACCAGCAGTGCCTCATCAGATATTCAAAGGTATTTTTCATTTTAACATTAAGGAAAGTTTGACTGAAAATTGAAAAAGGCTGAAACTTGTTACAGATACATGAATTGCTGGTATTAATGATTTCACAAGTTATTCTGCATCAATGATAAATACAGGGCACGCAACAGAAGTTACTATCTAAGATTTGAGGCTTTGCATGGTGGGGTATCGGTATCGTTTCGGGTTTTGCGGTAACACCATGTGGTAATAACTACTGCTTAGAAGATATTAGTTCTGAGAAGAACTTGTCCTGCTTATTATCAACTTGCTAAGTAGTTTTTTGTTCTGCTGTAAGTTCTAAAAGAACTTGTCTTTGGTCTCAACGTTTCGACTAGCCTGCTCTAGTCATCGTCAGGAGACTGAAGATAGTTGGAGATGCTACTCCTTAAGTAGGGTTTGTTAGGATTAGGAGTGCTTGCTGGGCATGCCCTGCTCGCTCGGGTGTGTCAGTTGGTTGTGAGCCATGGGCATTGTGTTGAGGGATGCCCGCTGAGCGTCCTGCTCGCTCGACTGTGTCAGTTGGCTGTGAGCCTTGGGTATTGTGTTGAGGGATGCCCGCTGAGCGTCCTGCTCGCTCAGGTGTGTCAGTTGGCTGTGAGCCACGGGTGTTGCAACTTGGAATAACTGAATGCCATATGTGGCTTATGAAGTAGCCGATATCTTGTGGGACAGTGTCATGTTTGTGGATCTCAATAGCTTCTCTGATACGACGGGTGTACCAGTGTTTCTCTGGGGCTATGATTTCCGCTTGTTCCCAATCAACAACATGATCCAGATCAGCAGAGTGTTTGACAATTGCCGATTTGTCAAGTTCCCCTCTGCGGCCATGAGCTATGTGTTCTTTAAGCCTGGTAGTGAGGTCTCTGCCAGTCTCGCCAATGTACACTTTGCCACATGAGCAAGGAATTCGGTAAACTCCTGCTTGACTTCTCGGGTTGTGCTTGTCTTTGTGGGTGTACAATTTCGTTTCGAGTTTATTGCGAGTTCGGTAGTAGACCTTAATATTGGCTTCACGGAGGATTCGCTGGATCTTGTGTGATGCATGGCCAATATACGGAAGGACTGCAACCGGCATATCGGGTGTGTTCAGGGTCTGAGACATGCTCGAATCCGGTGCGAGGCTGTGATTCTTAGGTCTGTACCCATTGTCTCTTAGCACTTTATTGAGGTGCTTCAGTTCGGATTGTAGGTGTTCATCATCACTGATGATATGTGCCCTTCGAAGTAGGGTGCGGTTCACCGAGGTTTTCACTGATGGTGGGTGGAATGAACGAGCATTGAGGTATCGGTCTGTATGTGTAGGTTTCCTGTACACAGAGTGTCCAAGTGAACCATCGGCCCGTTTGGAAATGAGTACATCAAGGAAAGGCAATGAATCGGATGTCTCAGTTTCCATGGTGAATTGTATACTCGGGTGTTGTTGGTTGAGATGGCGGAGGAAACCATCAAGCTTGTCCGGGCCATGTGGCCATATGATGAATGTATCATCTACGTATCGAAGCCATAACTTAGGTTGGAATTGAGCTGTTGCCAAAGTTTTTTGCTCGAAATCTTCCATGAAGATGTTAGCCAGGACTGGGGAAATTGGAGACCCCATAGGAGTGCCTGAAGCCTGTTGATAGTAATTGTCTCTCCATTGGAAGTACGTAGACTTTACGCAAGTCAGGAGAAGATCATAGATTTGATCTGGCGTTAAGCTGGTTCTTTCCGTGAGTGTGCCATCTTGTTCGAGTATCGACTTGGTTACGAGGCATGCTTCTTCGGTCGGTACATTAGTGAATAAAGATTTGACATCAAAACTCACTAGCATGTCTGCGGATTGCAATTTAATTCCCTTTATGGTGTTGATGAACCCTGCTGAATTGGGTACATGGTGAGGCGTTTTTCCCACGAGTGGGTGTAGGAGCTTTGTTAAGTGTTGTGCGAGGTTTGTTGTTCTAAACAGAACAAAAAACTACTTAGCAAGTTGATAATAAGCAGGACAAGTTCTTCTCAGAACTAATATCTTCTAAGCAGTAGTTATTACCACATGGTGTTACCGCAAAACCCGAAACGATAGAAGTTACTATCATTTGCCAAAAACATTTATGCTCAAATTAAGACAGAATTAAGAAAATATTTGTAAACATTCTTATTTTTAAACACAATGGTAATACATTTTGACCTTGTATGTAACACAATTAAGAAACGTAATAACAATGACAAAAAACCCCTGAATTTTTTTAACTCAATTGATGTCACAATAAAGGCAGGTCACGCGTACACTACCATCTCTTCCTTAAACAAATTTGGTTAAAGTGGTCAGAAATTGCCACAGATTGCGCCACAGAGCATCTGGATTTTAGAATCCCCCCACCAAAAATAAATTGGGGTCCTTAAGCATGCCCCGAACTCCATGCTGTGATTTTTTTATCTACATTTAATCAACCCCCCCCCAAAAAAGTGTTTTGGATCAGCCCTTGTGTAACGACAGTATTTTATTTACACATCCCAGTCTCGTTTCCAATTTAACATGCAAAGTGAAACTGCCTTAAATGTATTGTGAAACCCCATCTACAGAGTTAACATGTTTTGTCTTGTTTCATCTTGTTTCATCTTGTTTCATCTTGTTTCATCTTGTTTCATCTTGTTTCACCTTGTTGCATCTTGTTTCATCTTGTTTCATCTTGTTTCATCTTGTTTCATCTTGTTTCATCTTGTTTCATCTTGTTTCATCTTGTTTCATCTTGTTTCATCTTGTTTCATCTTGTTTCATCTTGTTTCACCTTGTTTCACCTTGTTTCATCTGGTTTCATCTGGTTTCATCTGGTTTCATCTTGGTTCATCTTGGTTCATCTTGTTTCATCTTAGGCAACAATGAGTCAGGCTGGTTACTGATGATACCCCCACCTCAGAATGGCTAATACAAAGAACAAAGGATCTTAATTGTCCAGTTTTTTGGGGGACCTTCAACCACACGTATACATTGTGTCCTATTTTACATGTGCCCTGTTTTGCATTTGTTATTCTTGTTTCCTTTGTTAACTGAAGACGGCGACATTGAATCAGGCTGGTTACTGATGAAACCCCCACCTCAGAGTGGCTAATACAAAGAACAAAGGGCCTTAATTGTCTAGGTCTTAGAGGGACCTTCAACCTTGTGGATTTGTATGTTTTAGTGTCCATTTTTTTTTTCATTCTTGAAATATCATCAGACCGGAAGCAGAACTATAGTTTGTTTGTTTTATTACCGTATCGATTTTACCCGTTTGTACGGAAAAGCAAAAGTTCAGATGATTTTAAAATACATTGCTTAGAGTATTGAAGTCTTTACAACTCATAAATTAAACAGGGAATTAAAAGGAGCACAGTTTAAAACCATGCATAAGGAATTACACTGTAGGTTTTCAACATTATTTGTCAGTGTTTCTGTTTGTTTTTCAACTCATACATTTAAGTAATTTAATAAATTACCATGAGATAGGGACTAACTATTTTGATGACTGTGTAGGGCAAAGTGGGGACAAGGAGACATTACTTCATATGCATATAGACTTATGTCAATCTTTATCAATTAAATAAACCAGGCCATCAAGTGGGTGGTCCACAGGCCCCTTCAACTACTTACCACTCCGTTTTTGTTTTCATAACACCAGCTGCTTTCAACTACATTGTACATGTATGTATTTCCCCTAGATAACAAATTTCCTTAGCGTTACAAAGGAAGTGCTTTATACCGAAGGCGTTCCTGGCTCGAGTACTGTGACCACCTGTTCCTTTCCCAGAAAAAAAACCACTCAGTTAGCCAAACTTACTCTTGAGGGTTGGAATCATGGGATATTCTTCACACGAAGCTGTATATGAAAATTGACCGAAGATATATATTAATAATTTTAACATGATCTCCAGCTGATTTGTGTGTGCTAGTTTCCCTACCACATTAAAATTTCAACATTAAAATTAAAAATTTGCACTTTTTAAAAATACGAGAATATATGCCAATGTATGTATGGCTCCATGCAAATTTATCACAAGTCATGCATCTTAGCATACGTGTACATTTTTATATGCTATTGTTTGCCTAATCATCCCCTTCACAAGTGACATTTTCGAAAAGATATTTGGGAGCTATTATTGGGGACAAAATCAAGTATTGTCTTCTTTATCATAGTTTTTGGATACCAACAATAAAAAGTGAGCCACGTGAGATTGTTTTGCTTGCCTTATTATTTTTTTTTTGCATGACATGGGAGTGATGCTAAATTCTTGTTTTGTTGCAGTGTCTTACACAATACAGGATGAGCATTCTTACTGCAAAGCTCCTAAAGAAACACAATCAGCTGACTCTTCATTTGAATCAACTGGCATTGCTGGCCAATTACCCAGTAAAAAGCAAAGCAAGCTGCTCAAGAAGGAACGCCAACGAACATGCAGGCTAAGGAAAGGGTATATCTTCTGAAAAAGTCAATGGAAAAGCTGACTTAAGCTTCGCAGTCGATTACTGAATTAATCAAAGGTGCTCATGAGTTTCTTGAAGGGCCTGCTATAACATTCTTTGCATCACAGTTGAGAAATTTGTCATGGCGTTGTAAGGCTAAAGGAAGGAGATGGAGCTACAAAGACAAAATCACGGCTCTCTGTTTGTACAACGAGAGTCCTCGTGCTTACTAGTTCTGTCAGGGCATTTTCACGCTTCCGTCCATGTCATCTCTTCGTCGTTGGTTGAAAATTGTTGAAGTGAATCCCTGGTTTCCTCAAAAGTATTTGAACTTCTCGGAGACACGGTTGCTGGTATGACTGGTGGTTGCTGGTGGAAACAACCCATTGGATAATTCTTGTCAAGAGATCTAAAAGGTGCCAAAAACCTTAAAGCCCTGCTCATGGAATGCATTCAACATCTTAAAGACATTGGGTTGCAGCCTAAGGTGGAGATATGTGACCAGGGAACCTGCAATACTAAACTGTATAAGAATCGTTCAGTCACAGCAGACCAGCCTTTCATCCTGCAAGTCCTGCATCCACTCCCAGCCAAGTCCTGCATCCACTCCCGGCCAAGTCCTTCATCTACTCCTGGCTAAGTCCTGCATCCACTCCCGGCCAAGTCCTCCATCCACTCCCAGCCAAGTCATCCATCCACTCCCAGCCAAGTCCTGCATCCACTCCCGGCCAAGTCCTGCATCCACTCCCGGCCAAGTCATCCATCCACTCCCGGCCAAGTCCTCCATCCACTCCCGGCCAAGTCATCCATCCACTCCCGGCCAAGTCCTCCATCCACTCCCAGCCAAGTCCTGCATCCACTCCCGGCCAAGTCATCCATCTACTCCCGGCCAAGTCCTCCATCCACTCCCGGCCAAGTCATCCATCCACTCCCAGTCAAGTCCTGCATCCACTCCCGGCCAAGTCATCCATCCACTCCCGGCCAAGTCCTCCATCCACCACTGGTCAAGTCCTCCATCCAATCCTGGCTTTTAATTCTGCATCTTTGACTGCCGTTAGCTATTCATCTTTACCTGTGGTTAATTTCTGCCTCATCCCAGTCCTGGTTGTTAGCTTTGCACCTCATCCTGAATCCCTCCAGCTGATGTTGTCCATCCCATCCAGGATGTCAGTTCTGCATCCCATGCTACCCACTGGTTCAACATTGGATCCCGGACTTCAAGATGCCTCCTACATGTAGATTCAGTTGAAGGTATGAAGGATTAGTTACTTACATACAAACCAATTATATAAATCAGAAACATCAAGAAATTAAACGTTATGGCTTTATGTACTTGTACATGATCTATTCTGCATAAATATTATAAGGCGTTCACAACGCTCAGATGATTAGGCCAAATAAAAAAAAATGTTTAGCGTCCCCGCCCGCTCGCTTTTTGGAAGCCGCCGTAAAAATAGTACATAATACATTTTAAACAGTGACGTCATTTTGGCCTCTTTGTCTGTTGCATCTAGCCCATGTAAAGCTGGTATGACGTCATTCCCTGAGTCCAATGGCGGCTATTTAAACAAAACAACTGTCGGCAATCTTGAAAAAAAAAGCCCGGTAGAGCGGCCATTTTGAGGGGAAAAAATGTCTCCTGCTTCCTTTTATTTCAAAAAGGCAGAAAACTAAACATGTTTGATTTGTTATTAGGCCTTAAGGTCAAATGTATTCACACACTGCCTAAAAGTAGAACATAGAATTTACAATGTATAGTCACGGTGCCCGTAATCATGCTCTTAATCTCGTGAATACAAAGTTACGACGACAAAGTTGGTGCAGAACCAGACTATGATTTGTGAAGGTAAAAATGTCTAAGTCCCCAAAAAAGTCAATGCGCATGATGAGTGCCTGTTTAGCAAATTATCATTTACTTATTATGGGAGCCGGCTAAATATACACTGCCAAACAATTCCTCACGAAAAAATGTAGAGAAAAAAGGTTTTGGAATAATGTTGCAAGGTGATGCCACTTCTGCGATTGTGAACAAAGTCTGTGGAGAGTCAAGAAATTGGAAATGTTTCTCAGTCCCGGATTCATGTCCTATATTATTTTTGCAATGAATGACCTTCATTGAGATGATATAAAGTGGCGTAAGGTTGTAACATTTTTTCCGTGTTTTTTTTCAATACCAATCTTATTATTAAACATGTCTTTTTCTTGGAAGTCTTCCCCCCCCCCATGATTTATGGAACATGTACGAAGGAACAACCCTCCGCCTGATTTGTGCCCAGTTTCCGGACGCCAGCAAAATGTGTATCATGATGTTTATGTTCAAGATACGTGTACATGTACATAAAAGGAAAATTTTTCAATAATTTGCCGGCCAAATATTTAACTTTATGTATCAAAAGTTTATCCAAGTTGGTAGAAATACTTCTGAGGAAAGACTAAACTTTCATAAAAATGGTAAAAGCAACGCATATGTGCCTTTAATAATCCACGTTAAAGTTAGGTCATACTGGGCCTACATTCATGACATTTGTACTTTTGTTTCCAACATACAAAATCGTTTTCTTTAAACAGTCACAATTTGAAGTAAACCTGAACAAAAATGATGAATAAATATACGTACCGAACATATGCTTCAATTATGACGGCTTATCGTCTTAAGACTGCCATCTTATTTCCCACTAAATTACGATGAAAACGTGTTGTCATGTTGTTTACTTTTCAACAACGTGAGGGCGTGTGAACACCGCGACTCAGCACTCTAAAATGGCAGCGGCTCAGTTCCATGACTAACACGCTCAGCCAATGGGCGTGTACACAGTGATCTATCTAATTGCGCCTACAACGGCGCTAAAGGATCTTTGCTACTGATTATACACACGATGAGTGAACTACAAGCGAGGTTTTTCAAATACCAGCTTCATTCCAATAACAGATCCAGCTCTATTGCCAAACTGCATGTCCGCAGCTGGTACGGAACGAAGCCGGAGTTTGGGAAACCGCGGTAGGTCTCGTGACTTCGGGTGCTATGTAAATCTAAGCTTCGTCCCCGGTTCGGAATAAGGCCATGTTAGACCCCTAATCAGACAAGTGGCTTTGTCATTTTAACCGCTGGTATTGAGAGGGGAAGGGGGGGGGCATGTGTTCGTTAACTATCCTACCCACCCCCATTGTCGCTACGTCACTGCTTCAGAGATTATTATAAGTCAAGGTGTTTGGCAATACAGAATGGCACATTATTCTGTGATTTGTTGGTCCGGTTATCACCAGGGCCAGTTCAGGGTGAATCGTACGCGTTATGCGGAGGCCACAAACTAGCAAATGCAGGAAATCTGATCGTCCGATACAAACCTTTCTTGTTTATATGGGCGGGGGGATTGATCTTAATTCATTGTATATGCTATTTTGAAACTGTGTCATTGTTTTTGGCAGTGAACGTTTGCTTTTCAGGTCCATCATCACCGATCATACATTTTAACATTACTGGAAATGATTATTTGAGCTGGGAGATATTCACGTATAAAAACCTATTTCCACATTAAAGGCCACGAATATACACGGGCTGGATATGAAGCGTAAAGTTCATGGAAGTTTATTTAACTTTATTTTATTTCCTCAAAATCCCAATCAACGAGCAAAGCCTACCTCAGGGGCATAACTACGGGGACACGGGGCACATGCACCCTCACCCCCAGTGGAGGCCGGCGAAGCCCCCCCCCCCTCCCATTTTGAATACCTGAATTAAAACATTTATTGTTGTAATAATGTTGCCTTTAGTGCATCCTTGAAAAAAATATAACACACCCTGCAGGTACCCTATCTGAAGATAAACCCAAGTTTCTTCGCTGGCTTGGGTACGATTTAATTCCTCATGTAGTCCCGAATATATCCACATAATTTAATAGACTGAAGCGCCAACTGTACATTGAATGAATCCCGGCCGGTTCACGTCACTTCTCGATCGACCAATCACAGTTTGTCGGTGACAAGTCGGTGACCACAAATCGGTGACCACAAATGAGTGGTCTGTGATTGAGAGGTTGTGCGTGTCAATCACAAATCTCAAGTTTGGATGTGTCACCGACATCCATACAATATCCACCAATAATAAGCGGCCATTTCAATGTCGGTGAAAAGTTTTTATGGTGACTATATAGCCTCAACGACATTAACATAACTTTCGTCTCATTAATATGAAGCGAGTCGGTGATGTGTGATTGACAGCGCACAGGGGCCATGCAATCACAAACCAGGTCCAAGTTTTTAGTCAATGCTCAGGAAATCGATGACAATATTTAAGGCAAGAGCGGCCGTCTCACCCCGCACAGCAAGCACAAGCACATCTCATCACCACCTTCGGACGACAACCAGAGAGAGAACTGACTGCAAAAACAAGATTTTGGTCGGTGAGTGTTTGAAACAATCAGTTTTCTTCTGAGTAAATTTGTTTTGTTTTGCCCAATGTGTTTGAATCAATGCGGGATTCATATTTTGATGAATGTTGCTGATTCAATGATTTTCCAAACAACGAGCGCGGTAGTACTAGTAGGCTTGATATCTCCCCGTGCCGTCTTTGTGTGTTTGTGAGATGTGGTAGTTTGAGGTCTGTGCATGATAGCTTTAACAAAATGTTCAATTTCATTTCACTACGACTCTGATGCACGTTTGCTAATAGCAAAACCAGCGAGCTAATTTCCGATCCAGAAGTCGTGCTTTTTCTCAATGACCACTTTTGAGTTGAAATAAAATAGCTCGATAATTTACATGCACTAATCAAAGCCCGTCTGAAAGAGTTAATTTCAAAATCCTCTGTAAATTATCGAGCTACTTTATTTCAGCTCTAAATGTAGCTGGTGCGGATGCAGACCACAGTTTTGTGAGGTCAAATTTTAAGGCGATAACAATGAGGAATTCCTGTGTGGCATTTTTTCCTCTACTACTTCCATTGTGCACTCTCAAACACAAATTGTCAAATACTGAGTGGTTTCTATACTTCTTGAAAGAAAATCATTTGGATTCCTGTCGATAAAGTCACATTTATGGAGGTTGTTTTTAATTTATGTTTGACTGTTAGGTTTGACTGTTGTCTAGTCCATTGTGACCGCATTTTTTCACAGGTGTAAAACATCAAGTTCCTTGCTGTGATTCAAAACAGTTTGGATTTATTGTTATACCTGCTTATTCAAAATAATTCACGCACTTTTGATATATCAGATGAACTACAAATCGGTGTTTCAAAGAAAAATAAATCTTGCGAAAGCTGCTCGACTCTGTATATCTGGCCAATAATTATCTGTATGATCAAGCACACTCATTTTTTTGCCTCTTTTTCCCTATTGACTTTATCATTTAAATGTTCAAATATGAAATCCCAGTGCGATGTACTCACATTATTTTGGCAATCACTCAAACTAATTCAGGATGAAAAGTTATGCGAAAGTTGGTTACGGAAGAACGTATACAGGAAATCCAGACATCTGAATATGCATGTCTTATTCGTTTTATTCTTAATGTGGATATTCTCAGTACCTTTGGACTTTGTTGTTAAACTGTGTCATTTCGCCATAGTTCTCAGTGCGCCATCCGGTTTCACCGGGTTATTTTAAGCATTGCAGGGTAAAAGTGTCACTGGTCAGAATAAACTAGAGGGCGCAAATGCAAACGCACTGGATCATGATATACACACTGTTTTATACAAGTTTAACAGCTGGATGCATTTTGTAGATTTGATTTTTGGAGAACGAATTTAAAAAAAAAACCAATAATCAATCCAAATTACATTTTCATGCCACAGACATTTGTTTTGCCGTGTTGTACTTGTGAAATTCAGCTATGCCTCCCCACCAGCCTCCAAGTTATCTTCTAGAGGATTTTTAAGGACTCATGTTTTCTTTTGGTATTTAGCAATCCGCTCAAGTGTTGGGGAGTGCTTCCGCGAAAGAATCAATGAACTCTGCTCAGGTGAGTGTCTGTTATGTGACATTTTCTTAATTCAAGCATTCGAATAAAAGTGACTTGCTGAGAGACTGTATCTCTTTTTTCTATGCAAAATCAAAAACAGAAAACGCCATTCAACATTGTTTAGCCAACTGTAGCTTTGTTTTCTTTTTGTTCATAGTGTTTGAATCGACATGTGACTTAAATTTTCAAATGTATTGGTTAAAAGTGTCAAACAACGGTAGTAGGCTAGGTATTTCTTCGCTGTTTCTGTTTTTCTGTGTTAATCGCGTCAATGCAGCTTTTTCAAAATTGTCCAGTTAGATATAGTCTTCAAGAATTATCCCTTCTAAAAATATCCTCCTAGCCGATGCTTGGTCTCCTCAATTACCCCTTCTCAAAATATTCTCCAAGCCTTGATGGTTAGTCTCCTTAATAATCCCTTCTCAAACAATATCCTGTCTCTTAGTCATGATGGTTAGTCCCCTTAATTATTCCTTCAAAAAAATATCCTTCTAGCCATGATGGTTAGTCTCCTCAATTATCCCTTCTAAAACAATATCCTCGAAGCCATGATGGTTAGTCTCTTTAATTATACCTTCTAAAACAATATCCTCTTAGCCTTGATGGCTAGTCTCCTCAATTATCCCTTTTAAAACAATATCCTCCCAGCCATGATTGCTTTTCTTCCCCACATTTCACTCTAAAAAAAAAGAATTAAAAATACAAAAAGGGTTAATTATGGTTAAAGGGAATGTACAACATTTGCTTTTGCTGCAATTTTCAGAAATAAATGGATTTGGAGGATTAGTATGTTATAGCAAATATTGTTAAACTGACTTGTTTCACGTTTTGGGGTTGTAGATGCTGGAAAAACCAAGAAAACCAATCATGTTCTTGTAGTCTGGTTCCCTGACTCCACTTAAAATGAAACGGAGCAATTTATAGACTTTGGGGAATGGGAAGTTCAGAGAATCAGTCCAGCTGGCTTGTAGCCCTTCACAGGGGTGTAATCAACTGCAAAGAAAATGCGGAATAACTAAATATAAAACATTAGGAGCATTTTTTTTTTAAAGCCAGTTTTCTCCAACGCTGGTTGGCCGACCAGTGTTGGAAAATACCGTTTTTCTTGAAAATGTCAGCACACCAGGAGCCATGATTTTACAGGATGGTTCAGACTGTCATTCCTTAACAATTCAGTTAGGTATTTCGTGATAATTTGATCATTTCATTTTTTGATGTTTGCAAATGTTGTATCTTCCCTTTAATACCTTGAGATATAAACACATCTGCAGTGATTTATGTTAAGTCAAGGTCACCACTCCGTGCGATGTTTTCTCAACTAGGCGATCTCGTCTCCGACGGCGATATTTCAAAGCTGTGTTGCCAGATTAGATACAGGGGCGGCGGAACCGGGGGGCTGGGGGGCATTTGCCCCCCCCCCCCCCAGATTTTCCCAAGTGCCCCTTTTGCGGCCATAAATGTGCCCCCTCGCCTCGAGCATAAAAGTGCCCCTTCGATGAAAAAAAATGTCCTTAAAGTATCTTCCTATTTCTTAGAAATAACCATTTCCCAATACTGGTATAGATAGTTTTGATATAGACGAGGAATATGAAAACAAAGAGCCCCAAAAACCCATACAATACGCCCTGAAAAGGGGCACAGGGGCACATAATGCATAGTTAGCATATAATCATCAGTTTTGAAGAGCGCCCCCGATGTTGGAAGATCGTACCAGCCTCCCTCTCCCCCCCCCCTTCCCCCCCCCCCCCCCCCCCCCCCCACACACACACACACACACACACACACTATTTGATTTGACGGAGGCCAAGTGTCCGGTGAAAAACACGTGTCGACCTTTCAGCACGGATGTGCCAAAAAAATGCTGACCAAGTGCCCCTTTTTGGTGATGCCCCCCCCCCCCCCCCCCCCCAGTTTCAAACCCGTTCCGCCGCCGCTGATTAGATAGCTACTGTCCACCTGCTGGAAAATCCAATTAATAAAAAATGGTGTTTTTATTTCAAATAAAACAAAGGTTACCCATTCAAGATCGGTAAACCACAATTAGTAAAAAATATAACTAAAATAAAGTAAGTATTGATTTAATGAATTTGCTCGTTATTGTTTAATCGGATTAGTTAGCATGTATTATAATGGTGTATTCTTAATCATGTTGTACCAAATTGTGTCCGCATTTACCTTCCTATTACTCTTTGTTGATGTGATTGTTCATCACGCTAGTGTATCATTATTATAGGTGTTCCAATTTCGATCGCAACCTTATTAGGTCGGAATTTGTATTACTCTTCAACAAGTCGCAGTTAGAGCATTCAATTTTGTTTGAATATTTACAACGAACGGCCTGTTGGCAACATTTTACGTGCTAAAAATAATATCCCTTTTTTAAACTCGATTTGTCACGGAGTAGGTGATGTCAGAGGAAGTATTCATTTTCAACGAAAGAGCAGTAAAATCAGGAGTCAACGTTACTGGGCTTTAGCAATGTACCTGAGACACAATGACGTAATGGCTTTGATTACACATGCGATTTTCTATTTAATTGGAGCGACGTCTGGACGCATATAGTAGGGACCGTTTACCACATATTCGCTCGTAACCCCGCCCTGCAAAAAGGGCGCTGCGACACGCTGATGAGCTTCACAGAATCTTGTGAAGGAAGTTTGGGTGGCATTCTTGGTACGTTATCATGACCTATGCTTAAAGGTATAATCCATCATTTGTAAATTGTGCATGTTGTTCGTTTGAAGCAACAAAAGTGCTCAAAATCTAAAGAAGGGTGCTGAACAACAAACCTGATGAAGTTTCAGCTCAACTTCAGCTGTATATTTCGAGAAAAACAACATTCTAGGATCTCGATTTCAAATGAAAAGTTGCTGAATCATGTTTTGACTCGGCCCTCAGTGAATTCAGCATTCGAGACACGTTCTCACCGAGCCGATTGCAGCTACGCGATGTCGCGCACCGATCCGGCGAAGTATAGCAACCACGCGCGCGTGTGCGTCGTGCCAACGCTTGCGCGCGCTTCGCCGAAATAGAAAAAAAAAGAACTACTAACGGATTTCAATCAGTGCTTAAGACGCACCGTTGGAAAGGCCTTCTTCCGTTGATTTCTCCAAAATGACAGCTTGCCAGAAAGAATAATTTTACAGGGAGTTTAGTTCCCTTACTATATTTCAATCAAGTATGTTTTTAACAATAATTGCGCCAGTTAGTTTTTGGATAGCTGAAAATGATGGACTCTGGCTACAAGACATCTGGCTGCAGCCAGGCCCGGATTAAGTGGTTCGTAGGCCGTACTCCGCCCCGGCCTATAGGCACCGGCACCAAAATAATGTTAATACTATTTAAGTACAAAACACTGTACAAATCAAACCAGGCCAAACTGGAATATGTCCTAGCTCTAAAAGCCTGTTGGCACCAAGGGCGTCAACCGCTTCTCAAACGTGGGAGTGGTACATGTTAAACGTGTATCTTGATCAGAACTAGTGCGACTTCGAAGTCTTAACGGCGTACGGTTCGGGGCCAGCTAAAGGGCCCCGAAAAAAAAATGATTCTAGACGCTCTGAGACACGATCTAAGGCAATTTCTGACTACTGGCAAGGTTTTAGCAAAAGATCATTATCATGTAAACATCATTTTTGAGTTTGAAGTCTTTGAATCAACTAGGGGCGGCGGGACCGGGGCAGGACTCCCCCCCCCCCCCTCCAGATATGCCCAAGTGTCCCTCTTGCGGACATGAAAGTGCCCCCTCGAGCATAAATCGACCACGGTGTTTTCACGAATTGCCAAAACCTTGATTTTGAGTTTTGCTGTTTATGGCCAATATATTGCGCTTGACAAAAAGAAGAATTTGGCCGAGTTTCTAAGCAAAATATTGTTTAATTTTGTAATTATCGTAAACAAACATTTGACAAAAAGCCTGAAATCCGGGTTTTTCTGTTTTCACGAAGTCAGTGACAAAAAACTTACCTCGTTAGCAGGGCCAGAAGAATAATAATGCACTACTCTACACACGCGTTAGGATGGGAGAGGGCGCGCGTGCCGTGACGCGCGCGCGCGCTGCATTGCGTAAGACGCACAAATGTAACAATTTCTTAGAATGTTTTATTATTTTCACGAAGTGACGAAGACTGTGTACAACTTAATGGGACAAAATAATGAGGCCTTTGGCCAGGGTTTTGCTGTTTTCACGAAGAGACTTCTAATAAACAACTTTGAATTAGCAAACTTTAAGCATACGTTACTTGACAATGCAAGAATTTCCTAAATTCATAACTAAAAACTAGTCAAAAAGGTGTTTTGAAAAAAGGATTGACTCCAAATGCAATTATCTCGGAATGACCTTTTGCATGAAATTGAGATTTTGTCACTTTGTGAAAAGTAAAACTGGCCCTAAAATTTCAGATAGTTGTATTATAACCATTTCCCAAAACGCTCTGATATGAAAGAGGAATATAAAAACGAAGCCCCAAAAAACCCCAACATAATGCGTAGTTAGCATGGCCGATTTTGAAGAGCGCCCCCTATTTCAGAAGATGGTACCAAAAAGTGTCGACATTTTACCACGGATGTGCTAAAAATCCTGGATACGCTGCTGCACCGACAGAAGATGCATTTTACGACCAAGTGCCCCTTTTTGGTAATGGCCCCCTCCCCCAGTTTGAAAACCGTTCCGCCGCCGCTGGAATCAGCTATTCTGTGCTGCAGAATCAAAATGTAGGCTACAATTTTATATTCAGGGACAAAAATAGTTGGGGGGGGGGGGGGGAGGAACGACATGTCCCCGTCCCCCACCAATCGACGTCCATAGTTGGCACAGTGCTTCATAACGACAGACTTTACACGTAAATTGCATACGTAGGGCCATATATGCCTACATGCTGTACAGCGTCAGTTGGTGACATTGAAAATTCTGAGAGAGACCCTAAAACCTTTTGATAACTTTTCTCTGCGTGTGGGTGTGTGTAGGTATAGGCTTATAATATTTTGCACACTGCGGTATTTTCGTAGGCCCCCGAATTTTCGTAGGCCCCCGACTTTTTCGTAGGCCCTAGAAACATTGCCTACTGTGCCTATTGGGTAATTTGGGCCGCGAATTTTTTTTCGCCCAAACGACATCCGCTTACATGGTTGTTTAGCGCCCTCTTTAAGTCCGAATTTCAGCCCAGGAAATTAACTACGGTTAAAATAAGAGCATTTTGACATAAGTGTGCGACTTTGCAAAATTTTAGTACACGAGAACAAAGGAAGTGCCCCACTTCTATGTGTGTGTAAGCGTGAGTTTGTCTTACATTCCCTATGTGGACTTGTGAACAAAAGATGTCCACATAATGCAGGTTGGTGTGTGCTGGAATTTACTACCTTACGGAGACATGCACACAATAGGGAACAAAAGATTGTATACGTCTCCAGAAGAACATTTCTATAGATGAATACGTCTCCACAAGAATTTCACGAAATAGATATATAGATTTTACTCAAAAACTAGGAATTTCCAAGGTAGGTTGATCCGTCGCAAATGGAAGAGTTTTAGAAAAGGGATATTTAGTCCAAATTTCAGCCCAGGAAATTAATTCTGGTTTAAATAAGAGCATTTTGAAACTTCAATTTCAAACTCGAAAACTTTACTACACGAGAACAAAGATATGTCTCCACAGGAATACAAATTCCAGAATGGGTGAGCTTGTCTTACATACGCAGTGTGGACTTCCGAACAAAAGACGTCCACATAATGTAGGTAGCAGCGACGAAGTGTGGACTTGCCCACGTCCACACAGTGTTTCCCCATTTCTGGAAAACAGGTTTAGAGGCATTTTTGGGTTAGGTTTATCTGTAGCAGAATGAAGAGAAACACTAAAGGGAATCATTGAAAAAAAATTGGGTTGTAAGAGTTTTCACAGTTTGAGAAAAATGAGTTTTTCCACTGGTGTTCCTTAACTACACGAAAAGAAAGGAAAGTCCACACTAGGTATGTGAAACTGTGTGGGGTGTGTGTGTGTGGGTGTGTGTGTGTGTGTGTGTAAGTTCAACACATGGCTGTATACGCTGCACACTATTTATACTTTATAGTACAATAAATCATGTCTCATCCCGAAAATACACAATTTCTCTCACAAAATGATGATAAACCAGAGCAATACTCATTGCAAATATTTTTATGAAATTACCCTCCCACAGTGATATACCTCAGGAGCATGGCAGGAGCCATGCTCCCTCCCTACAAAAATGAGAGAATTTCCAGAGACAATTATGTCGGTCTTCTCTGCTCGAAGCACACAGAAGAAACCTTGTAACAAGTTGCCTTTGCGCGGGAAGCACAAAGGTCACACTATGCAAATCAAAGTGTTTCATGAAAATATGCAAATCACTTGCCAAACTTTTGGATGAATAACAGCTGAGGGTTCATTTGGTCTCCCTACATTAAACGTTTTGAAAAACATGCCATGTTAGACTGTTTTATGAAACAATATCTTCAACATGTTTCAAATTTTATTGAACATTGTGTTACTCTGATAAACGTACGATTCAAATTGAATCAGCTTCTTTTAAGAAGCTGTAGATGCAGGCGATTTGAATAAACGTTTCAATAAAAAAAGTTGGGCTGATTTCAAGCATCATTCAATTTTGTGGGGAAATCAAACAATGTTTCATTCAAATAGTTCGTGGATTAAAATAGATTGATCAAATTTGAGCAAAACAAATTGATGATGAACTAATTATTCCCTATACTAAGGTATAAAAGTAATTAGTCATCGTGTTTATGTCTTTCAGCCTACTCAGAACTCCGTCTGATCTCTTCTTGGACCTGATCATCAAGAACGAACCATCGAGGTGGGTGTGGTGAGGTTTAATTATATCAGGACCAGGGAAGGGGTAAGATGTGTCCCCCCCCCCCCCCCCCCCCCCCCGCCGGAACGTTTCACCCTGAAAGCAAGCACATTGGTTCATTTCTAATTTTGATCGGCGGGTAAAATAATAGCACAATTAATTGGATGGATTGCAAAGGTAATATATTAAAAACTAGGCTTTTAAAAATGTTGGTCCTCCTTTTTTTATATTGTCATGAGTTTTATAGTGATTTTCAAATTTGTCTGATAGTGATTTTCAAATTTGTCTGACCTCCATATTTTTTCTACTCTTTCCATTTTTTATTTAAATTTGTTAAAAACAATTTCTTACATGATTTGTTTCCATTTAATGTTTTTTTTTGGTCTGTAGAGAATGAAGATCTGCGTGGCAACCGTCTTTTCGATCGCCCTCCTTCTGGGTAACTCCGTCAACCTCCGAGCTTCTATTACTGGGCCAGTCCCCTCGGACGGTGATGGTCCGGTGACTCAGGAGTGCCACAAAAGCTGCCAACAACCTGTAGTTTTAGGAACAATTTTACAAGGGCCAAAGGGTGATGCAGGTGAGCCAGGTCAAAAGGGTGACACAGGGCATAAAGGTTTAGTCGGACCAACCGGTAAGAATGGTGTCAAAGGTCAAAAGGGTGAGCCAGGGGAGTCACCAGACGACCGGCGGGTAGCATTCACCGTGGTGAGGACGAGCATCTCGGATACCTCTACGAGTCACGACACCCGTTTGCCCTTCCAGGAGACCAAGACGCTTCTACCAGGCACAAACTTCGATCTGGAGACCGGCACATTCACGTGTAGTGTGCCGGGCACCTACGTGTTCACGTTTTCTGTGAGCAAATATACTCCCAGCAGCAACCTGGCCGTTCATCTCCGGAAGAACGGCGCCATATTTGTCTCTGGCGGTAGCAATGAATCAAGTAATGGTGAACAGGTATCTGCGAGCGCGGTGCTTGTTCTGCAGCGAGGAGACACGGTGTATATAACCATGTACGGTATGGTGTATGGTTATTCCCCCAATCACTACACCTCATTCAGTGGCTTCCTCCTTTACCCCGAATAAATAAAAATAATCCAAACAAATAAAGATACACGAGCATCGTGTTGCTGATTTGTTTAATCACTTTCCATTTTGCTAAAACAATAACCAAGAATTAAAGGAAATAATTTTCAATGTCGAAATAATAACCTACATTCCACTAAATGTACCATTAGGGAGACATGCTATCGTAATTTCTTCGAAAATAGGCAGACACCGGTCATTAGGGAGACACATAACTGTCTCCCTAATGTCACAGCCCCTTTAGAGGCACAATTTTAATGTCGCAATTAGGTTATATTTGTTGCTCGTAGTCTAATTAGTAAAAATACCGGAATTCGTGGGAAAAGGACAAGGGAATATTGGGTTAGGGCACAGTGAAGTTGGAAAAAATTGTGTGCACAAGTCCATGGGAAAGTCTCCGTACTGCCCTTTTCCCGGTAATATATAAACCTATAATTATTAAAACGAGTTTGCATTGCAATTACTTTATTTTAAACGTGTTTGCAGTAATAAAAGAGCGCCACCAGAGCGGCCTTTTTATTGGCCTTTTAAACAATTTTGTTTACGATAACATAACCTTCCGGGAATTATTTTTAGCCAAATTCCCGACCACCAACTTTTTATTGCCACATTTTGCCAAACGTATACAATAACGTATAATAATTCTTCATTAATATAAATGCAACGTTTATGTGTTAATTGCGTAATCTATCAATAAAACAGGTTAATTAACCAAAATACATTGATAGGTATCCTAACGCAAACAAAATAAGTGTAAAAGGCATACAGACAAACAATTTTTGTACCTACCTGGATACTTAGATAGTGTTACTGTAACATTTTCCCTGTGTGTCCAGCACAGATGATTTAATAAATCAATCCCATGTATGAATCAATGTTTATTTTATGTTCATGTTACAAAAAATGCTCAATTGATTTGAATCCCTTAGTGACTTAAAACTTGGCGGTATGAATAATATTCAATAATTATAATACTTGCATAATTTGTGGCATTATAACATGTAAGAATTATGTACAATTAAAACAGTATGCATAAAACCTCATTCTGAGGATACGAAAAGCACCGTCATTTTTTTATGATTTGTTTTTGCTAGGCTTCATTATAAGAAAACGTGCCCACACTAATGAAACAGTGGAGTTAGCTGTAGTTTTTAAATCCCACAAAAAGTGCGGCAAATGCATCTTGATTAAAAGACTCAAATTATGTTGAGACTTTTATTGTTCTTAACCAGCGTTACTTTACTGCACTAAAAAAATCACTTTGAAAACATCAGTGAAAGTGTCGGCCCGTTAGATGGTAAAGAAACAATCTTAACGAAATCAATTAATACAACGCACAAATTCCATTCAGGTGAGGAGGCTCTTTCAACTAGTTGGAATTGCCCTTTGTTCCTAAGCTGCCATCAGATGGGATCACTTTATAGTATTTCAAGTGAAATTTTTAGTATTAACTTTTATTTTGATACCATAGTGATGCAATTAAGTCCCCTGCTAAAAGCATATCCTTGGACAATGTCTCCAGCACATGTATATGTAAGCTCGAACAAATACGCTTCCTGAGAATAGGTAGACTCCTGCAAGAAAGAAAAGGTTATATGGACCATTGCTGCATGTCAATCAAACAATGCGCATTGACCAATCAGATCACTTTACTTTTGACCAGGTGATCACAGTAGCTCAGTCAGACAGGGTCACGGCACTGTGAGACCCCCCCCCCCAATATTGTTAAAGATTGCCCCTTTTTTTTTTTACATAAGTGCTCTTATTTTTGTTCCAAAAGTGTCTTCTTTCGCCAGCGGCTTTTTAAGAATCTTAGGAAATTTCGCGCAAACGTCACGTCGGCAATTGTGCCGCCCTGAAAAGCACCACCTGTATTCTATTAGTGCCCATGATCGGCCGGTTTCAACAGTGCCCAATAGGATCATGGTGTTCAGCCGCCCCCCCCCCCCCCCCCCACCACTATTTTTTTATTTTACGGAGGCGGGGTGATCGGTGAAAATAAACCACTGTCTATCTTTCAGCACGAATTGTCAAGTGCCCTTTTCATGTCTAACCTCCCGACACCCCCCCCCCCCCCCCACCAATAAAAATGACTTTGCTACCCCACTGACATTCCATTGATATTCAGGTGCTTGCAATATTAAGTCACCTGCTGAAATCGTGCAATCTCCATAGACATTAAGAGTAATTTTCACAGCTCTCAAATAGCGAGCGTGGAACAAGCGTAAAGTGGTACTTGGAAGAATTTTAAGTGTAATGTCTTTATGCATGGACAAAGGAGGGCGCTTTATAGTCGAACAAGCAGAAGCAAAATGAAGGACACTTCACTGGTTCATTAATGCTGGTTACCGTGTATTTAATGTATGGGTACCAGCATTTACAAGCCACTATGGCGCCTAAATGGCCCTTGTTTATAGTTTTCACTGTATATGGGGTTAGCTTGAGCGCAAGAAGGAGATTCTACCTTCCCTTTGAGTGTGGTGACGTCTTCCTTGCTGATCTTCCATGGAAACTTTTCCGTGATCTACCCTGCTTCCTCACCCAGCATCCAGCTTCTTGAACCGTCTCAGGCTCTCCTCCTTTGGGCTTCTTGTTCAGGTCCGGGATGACCTCCACGTCCGAGCAGTCGATGCAGAACTTGCTGAGCATGTCGGCCATGTTCATCTTCTCCCTGTCCATTTGCTCCATCTTGCCCTTGGTGGTAAAGACACCCAGCTTGTATCTCTCCCAGTTGAATTTCTTGGTGATGAGGTGAGGGATGAGTAGGGTCAAGCCTTGGGGAGGGAGGGGTACACACAATGATACAGCACATTGATTCCTTTTGACATAAAGCATTGGTTTGCTTGGACATGCAGCCATCCAGAATAACCTGAGAGATCTCTGAAAGGCTCCATGAAATGAATTGGACACTGAAACATATTTCCCTGAACAAAAAATTAACACGGCCAACCCCCCCCCCCCAAAAAAAAAACAGTCCTATGTTTTCTATTACATGTAAACAAAAAATGTGAGACTGGGTAGGTAAAAATATGTTTTGGGTGTTTGACATTTCTATAGCCAAAAGAAATAGGGTGGGATGATAGTCGTTTTAAAATGTTAAAACATTTTACTTTTTTTCCTCTATTTTGCATGCATTTGTTAACAGTCATTCTGCACCACTAGCCAACTTACAAAAAAAATAAATATAAAGTTTAAAATTGCAGAATCCTGTCTGCCAAAACTAGGGTAGGGCAACACCACAATTCTTGTTTATTTTTAGATTTTTTTTACCAACATAAAAGGTTCAGCATAATTTTCTAGGATGGATGGGGTAATAAGAAAAACAATATTTTTTTCCCCTCGGCCTAAGACTGACTCTACATTTTTGGGACTTTAGTACACAAATTACGAACACCAATACAAATGCTGCTCAAATTATTACTTATAGGCAAGTGAAGTTGAGGTGGCTTGGCGAAGGATACAAAGCATGACCAGCAGCTGGATTCGAACCTTTGACCCTCTGATCATGAGTCACTAACCCTATCCACTAGGCCACACTCACCCACAGGACTGAAACCCACACTTTTTACAACTACCACCAAGATTAGGAGTTTGTCACAACCAACATTCAAGCATGGCACACCGATCAAATCCCACGTTATGTTGGTTAAAGCTGCGTCCAAATAAACCTCTTGTCTACAGCTATTGTCTTGGTGCCAAACACTGACTAGTCTAGTCACAGACTCCCGTGTTTGTCTTTACCCAATAGTAATGTGGATGATGGATTGACCGTAAGTTGAGGTCAACATTTGTCATTGTATTACGATCATTAATTTGCAAATTCAAAATGCTGTAAATTGAATTGCTTTAGTTTGTTTTCTCAAATAACTTATTTATTGCCCTTTTTTAGGTCAATTGCGAGCTGTACAGACACAGCCTTAGCTCTGGAAGCCCATTTCTGACATGACCTGAATCTTGCAACTGCAGCTACTTACCGTATGATACCAACGTAGTCGTTGACATATTACGGGCTTTGCAGCTTTTCTGTCTTCCATTTACCCAGAAATCACATGATGATTGTGTTGGGCTTGATTTTACTCAGACCAACAATCTAGACGGAAACAATTGAACAGGAAGGGAAACTTTGAATACATTTGTTCTTTACAAAACTGTGTTCTAAAAATCAGACCAACTCTAACGTTGCAAATAGTGAAAAAGCCAGACCAAAACTGGTTTCATAATCTTGTGTTACATTTGTACAATTTGAATTAATTTTCTCAAGGACCTGCTCGCATTTTACTCAAAATTTATTTTAACATCAAAATGTATTGCACAACAGTCTTCGAACCTCAACTTTTGGTACACATTCTGTACTCACACTCATTAAAACAATACTCATCGAAATCCTCATTAAAATAATTCACCAGGGTATACACACTCTCAAAATAGTTACTCAATATTGCATGGGTAAAATGACTTCCTTTTCGAGAGTAAAAAGGGAACATGGTCGTCAACTTGTGTAGTTATTTTTTACACAACAGCTAAAGTGTAGAAAAGTACTCATTTCAGTGTAACTTTACCCATAATTGTGTTATGTGTTTGCACAACAAAGTTGGGTAAGAAGGTTTACCCATGTGACGACCATGTTCCCTTTTTACTCAATTATTGGGTAAACCTTACCCAACCCTCCTTTTACCCAAGTGTTGTGTCAGTTTCTTACCCAGATATTGGGTTCTAATTTTTACCCTGCATTGTTAGGTTCTAAATTTACCCATCACTTGGGTTGTTTTTAAATTAGTTGTTGTGTACATTTGTTATTGACCCTTGCGGTTTTATTCAACTGTGAACTCTGCAATGTGAATTGCATACTAGAGACAGCAATCGCGAGGGATTTCAATAACTGAGTCCTGGGTTGGAAAGTCAGTAAAATGAATAAGATGATATTTCCCCAATATGGTGCTGATGCATGAGGACTATTACGAGGAACGTAGGCTAAATGATGGGCAGGGATGTTAGAATTTCCCTCAATCAACTCATTCAAAAACAATTCCCCAAATGTCGGTCACTTTACTGCGTGTTTCTAGATCTGAGAACACTCGCTATACAGTGCATGAAACGCATGCATCATGTGCATGGAATCGTGGTTGGCAGAGCCGTGACGTCCAAGTTGCAAATAATCTCTAAATAGTAAGCATGTCACTTCTCCAATCTCCCCGATATTAATCCTCATACATCAGCATCGCATTTGGAGGAAACAACACTGAAATTCATTTCACTGACTTACCTGGAACAAAGAAATGACGTCTTCAAAATCCCCAAATTGTTGAAGGTCTCACAGGCGACGGCCATTTTGTACATGAGTGATACGCGTGCACAATATTAGGCAAACGTTGTCACGTGCGTCAGTTTACCCCGCACCGTGGTAACATTTTAATGTCGTGGTAAATTCTACTCTTCGACGTGTTCAATGAAAGAATTGTTACACAGTTGTGGGGTAAATCCAGTTTCTTTAACCCATCACTTGGGTAATAATACCATGATTTAACTTTTTGCCTGTGCTGCTGGGACTTGTAGTCAATGTTGGGTATTATTTTACCTTTTCATGTGTAACATATTTGACACAAGTAGGAGGTACAAGCGAAATCTTCATTTTGCTCAATATTGAGCAGAAATGAGACAATTTTTGTACACAACAGTTTTACACAACATAAATTTACACTTCTTTTTTAGAGTGCAAGACTTGTAAAAAGGTACTTAACTAATACAAAGCCTCTGGATTCATTGCAAACTAATGGATCGACTGTAGTACTCCGTTAAAAGTAGTCTACTGGTCAGAAACTACTCAACTCGTACTCGACTTATCACAGACTGCTTCACTCTTCAAACAGACTCGACATAGACTGAAGTTATCAAAAAGTACCTCACATCCATTAAAAACTGGTATTCCAGAGTCGCCAAACTTTGAAAATAGAATATGCAGAGAAACTCAGGTCAACTTAAATTGATTTAAATAAGTTTCAAACACAGGGAAAGGTCTTGTATTAAGTTTCCATTGAGTAGACGCTAAAGTCATTCTGAACGACTGCAACACTCAATCTTTATAGATGACTTTCATGTGTAGTTGCTCCTCAATGTTTCAAACGTCAAACTGAATTCAACTCTTCGGAAAAATTTAGTTTGGCACTTCTCTAAATGCCAGTCTCAAACGCGTGTAATTGTCACTCATTGAAAGGAAGAGGGAAGGGACCTGGAATCTACGGATTGCGGTTCCAGTGATCTACCAACTGAGCTACCAAGCTCTTTCGTGTTAGTCTCCCTCTTTGTCAATGTCTATATTCATGGGGCACTTGTCACAAAGTACGGTACACCATAATCTAGTGTTAATAATCGTCGAATTTGAACAGCGCCCCTATTGAAATATGTTTTGCCCCCCTCTAGAAAAAATCCTGGCGACGCCCATGTTTCCAGCTCTTGCACAAAACTTTACCCAATACCGTTCGTTTATTTAGCTCCACTGCGCATGTCTGTCATTACGCGAGGAGCCAGTCGCGAGTACTGGGGGAAGTAATCGAACGCACTCATGGTACACCATTGGCCCAACCTCGTCCCCAGGGTGTTGGGCAGTATGCGCCCACCACTACCTGCTTACTATTGGAAACGAGGTTGGAAATAAAGTAAGTACTGGGGACGAGGTTGACCATGGGCCTTATTCACGAGTTGGCCATTTCTGTCGAGTTCCCTGATAAACAGTTAACATATTCTATATTAATATAAACAAATTAAAGAAATGAGTATTTTCGAGAAGGCGTGGACGAATGATAGCGAAACACGTACTGCACGTTGTGAATAACAACACCAAGTACACGATAAAAATCCATTAGTAGCCGATTGCGATATCAAATCTTCGCTCGTACCCCCCGCCCTGCAAACAGGACACTGGGAAGGGCAGACGAATTAACGCTCTGATTGGATAGATTTTGCGTGACCTGTGACCTGCAAGTCACCACGACCGCGACCCTGCAAGGTTTAAAGCGGCCGTTTAGACTGAGTCATTCATCACTCTTTTATTCCCATTCATAAATGCGGTGCCCTTTTTTGCTTGAAAAGCATAATAATGTAGGAAAATCTGTGAAAACTTATCTGTTTTGTAAATTTTCAACTCCGTTTCGAATTCACGAGGGGTCGAAATGCATGATCATTCCATGCTCCAAATTTGTCCACATGGTCCGCAATGAAAAAGAAATTACACCTGGTATGGTGTGCATGCATTTCTATGGCAAACTTTTCGGATAGTATTTGCGCGCATTGGCTAACCGCGGTCTACAGCTGCAGCCAGATGCTTTTTATACGTAGGTCATGATAAATTACCCAAAATTCCATCCCTACTTCCTTCACAAGATTCTGTGAAGCTCATCTGCCCTTCCCATCGACCTGTTTGCAGGGCGTAGGGGGAGGTGGGGGGGGTACGAGCGAATATGGAATCAGGATACAGGAAGAAAGTTTCCTATCCGGGGCTTACTATTGGAAACAAGGTTGGAAATAAAGTAAGCACTGGGGACGAGGTTGCAAACGACCCGGTTCGTTCGTACCCCCCGCCCTGCAAACAGGACGCTGGGAAGGGCAGACGAATTCACGCTCTGTTATTGGCTAGATTTTGCGTGACCTGTGACCTAACGCCATCACGACCACGACCCTGCAAGATTTGAAACGGCCGTTAAGACTGATACATTCATCACTCTTTTTTATTCCCATTCATATAATGCGACGCCCGTTTTTGGTTGAAAAAAACAACATAATAATTAGGCCCAAAAAAAGTCTCCGGTTTCTGGTATGGAGCTTGCCCAAACAGTGGTGCGGCGACGCGGCTTTTTTTTTGTACCTGACTTTTTTTGCTTCAAATGTCGGCTGATGACTGCAAATGTTGCCCTACTAAACTTAGTGCAAATATATGGGAGTCCAGAGAGGCCACATAAAGCTTATTCTCGATCATAACCCCATCTAAAAACACGTTAAAATTGTGCAGCAGCAGGATTCCAGTCAAACCAATGAGTTTGACGGTTTTGGGACATCATCTTTTTTTGAAAAAAACGTTTTCATTTTTTTTTTTGGCCTAATGTAGGAAATCTGTAAAATAAGTTATCTGATTTGTTCAACTCCCGTCAGTTGCTCAGGCTCCGTTTCGAATTCACGAAGGGTCGAAATGCATATCATTCGATGCTCAACATTTGTCCGCATGGTCCGCAATATACCAAAACCTCGTTGGCTCGGGGTTTTGTGCGTAAACCTTATCAGTCAGCCGATCACGCTCAATTGACTTCGGCCAAACGGAATGTACATCATTGGCTTTTGCTGGAATTTTCAGAAATACACTATTTGAGGGGTTGGTATAATAGATCAAATATTGTTACACTGACATGTTTGACGTATTGTGTTTGAAAATGCTGGAAAAACCAAGAAAAACAAAAATGTTCAAGAAGTCTGGTTCCCTGACTCCACTAAGGATGAAATGGATCAATGTATTGATGCCGGAGCTGGCCTGCACCCGTTCATGAACATGTAACCAATAGCAAACAAAACTTTGACTGAAAAAAAAATGTTAATTTGGAGCAGTAGTTGAAAATAGTGTTTCCAACGGTGGTCGGCCGACCACCATTGGAAATGTATACAAAAATACCATTTTCTTGAAAATGACTTCACATCAGGTTCCATAATTTTACAGGATGCTTTAGACTGTCATTTACCAACATCCTAGTAAGGTATTTTGTAAAAACTTAGTAGTTTTATTTTTCGATGTTTGCAAATGTTGTATTTTCCCTTTAATGGACCGATCCAGTAAGCCCCGCCCACTGCGCACTGGGCAAATTAACACGTGCTCCTATCCAATGCCACCTGCATTTTCCTGCCGCGCGCATCATACGCGCGTGACTTTTGTGCGAGCACGTCGGACATTATATATAAGTCAAGGCTGTAATTGGTCAGAACACCATGGGGCGGTGCTTACTGGATCGGTCAATCAAAGTCCACCCACACACCGTATACCTTTATTAGAAAAAAACTCCGTTTATTTCGTTGCATTCCCGATGATCATTATCGTACACCACCATACATTTATCGTGAATTTCATGTCGCGAAAAAAACGATGTTGGAACTTCAATGTCTAAAAAATATTGCGATCATCGACAGTGTCGTTAAATAAATTATTTAGTACGTCTTAGTTGTCCCTAATTCGGGCCAAGGGGCGGCGAAACCGGGGTAACACTCCACCCCCCCCCCCCCCCGAGATTTTCCCAAGTGCCCCTCCTGCGGACATAAATGTCCCCCCCCCCCCCTTTGAGCATAAAATGTGCAGGCCCCCTCGGGATAAAAACAAAACTGGCTCTAAAATTTCGGATAATTTTTTTTCCCAAAATGGTATAGCCTGAGAATTCTGATATAAGCGGGGAATATGAAAACCCGAGCCCTAAAACCTCTACAATGGGCCTTGAAAATGGGCACATCATCAATTTCAACCGGAAATACGTCAAGCACCAAGCATTGGAATTTTCAAAGCAGAATTTCTGTCTCTTAACATAGATGACATCATCAGGGGGCCCACTTTGTTGGGGAATGGATAGGTTGATACACAATTTGGTTGAGGACTGTGTTTACAGTGACTGTTTATTCCACAACAATATTTTAATACACATTGATTGATTGAACTGGTTACAGTGAACTGAGACGAAGAGCACTGGGTGAACTGAACAGACTAGAATAGAAATGGAACAGAATTGGAATTGAAACAGAATTGAAACAGAATGAGATACTGCTAGTGGAGCAGCACTAAACAGGAAGTCTTGAGAATAAGAAATACTTAAGAATGGGGAAACTTAGTCATATCGTGGTTTCCTTGAGTCTCAGAAAAATGACTAGGAATGAGTAACATAGTTCCTTAAAACAATGATCTTGAAAGTAACTTAGTTGTACTAAGAAACTGACCAAAGACGTGTGTGGGCAGTGAAGGTCATTTGCTCTGTATAAAAGTATAGGGACTACACATTGCATAGGTACTGTGTGGGTGTATGTGTACAATCAGTAATGCATTCAAGAGAATTAATCATTAAAAAGTTCAAAAGGAACATTGATAATTAAAGTGTGATAGTAAACTGAAAATTAAGACGAATTGATAATTGAGAATTGATAATCTGAAAACGCTACAACTTCAAGTAAATATCTGCTCGGTCACCATGGCGTCTGCATATTACATCCCTACTGATGAGTTTAGATACAGAACCAGAATAAAATGGCCGGTTTCGAAGAGCGCTCCAATTGTTGTAAACTTGGTACCAGGGCCCAATTTCACGGCGCTGCTGAACAGTTAGCAGAAAAGTTGTG